CGCTCCCCCGCAGGCCCCGCCCCGCCCCCAGCCGGTCTCGCGCGCTGAGCGTTGGCTGCCTAAGGACTCAGGTCAGAGGCGGAAGGGCTCTAGGATCCCGCTGCCTTCCGCGCCTGCCCTCCCAGCTCCAGAACCTCCCTAGTTCCGCTGAGTGCAGGACTAGGACTAGGTGCAGGACTGAGCCCTTGGGTCAGTGCCTTGTGACTGCCTGTACCCCGAGCCTGAGCCAGACACCGGCGCGATCGTGGCCGGATCCCCGCGCGAGAACCTGGTCCTTTTAGGTCTCTGGCGAGTGGCACAGTGGGCCTCGGTACTCTCAGTTTCGCTGGTGCTTCGGGAAGTGAGCGTTGAACTCGGAAGAGTATTGGGGCCCAGGAGTCTTGGGAAGGGAGGGCCAGGGTCTGAGCCTTAAAGGAGGGGAGACCAAGAGGCTGGGGGGCGTCTGGGTTCTCAGGGGAGGGAAGGATAGGGTCGGGGATTTAGGCCCTGGGTCTCAGAAGAGGGGAGAGTCTGATGGAGCCAGTTTGTCCTTCTCCCCAAGGCTCTCTGTTCCATTCCATGGAGGTACTCTGGGCCCTCTGTCTGGCCTGGGCTGCAAGCCTGGCCACTACCAGCCCACCGAATATTCTCCTGATCTTTGCTGATGACCTGGGCTATGGGGACCTGGGCTCGTATGGACACCCTAGTTCCACCACTCCCAACCTGGACCAGCTGGCTGCAGGGGGGCTGCGGTTCACAGACTTCTATGTGCCTGTGTCTCTGTGCACACCCTCCCGGTAAGCAAGGAGCCCTCACCCGCTCCTCCACCCCTGCGGGTCCCCTTCCTAACAGGGCCTCTCTGCACTGCCGCGGGAGGAGAGAGCTGCCTCTCTGGGGAGGCCCTGTTTCTCCCTCCTCTGTCTCCTTTCTTCCAAGTTCATCTCCGTTGGATTCACGGACTCACTGCTGACCTGTCCCTGCAGGGCTGCCCTCCTGACTGGCCGGCTTCCTGTGCGGACGGGCATGTACCCTGGAGTTCTGGGGCCCACGTCCCAGGGTGGGCTGCCCCTGGAGGAGGTGACCCTGGCTGAGGTCCTAGCTGCCCGTGGCTACCTTACAGGGATGGCCGGCAAGTGGCACCTTGGAGTGGGGCGGGGGGGGGCCTTTTTGCCCCCCCATCAGGGCTTCCATCGATTCCTGGGCATCCCGTACTCCCATGACCAGGTATGAAGCGCCAGGGTTATCAGTTCCCCCGGCCCCCCTCACAGCCCAGAGCCCTCATTGGATCTGTCCCCCAGGGCCCCTGCCAGAACCTGACCTGCTTCCCACCAGCCACCCCCTGTGATGGCGTCTGTGACCAGGGGCTGGTTCCCATCCCACTGTTGGCCAATCTGTCTGTGGAGGCTCAGCCACCCTGGCTGCCTGGATTAGAGGCCCGCTATGTGGCTTTCGCCCGAGACCTCATGGCTGACGCTCAGCGCCAGGGTCGTCCGTTCTTTCTGTACTACGCCTCCCACGTGAGTACCCCAGTTCTGCTCTCCCCAGTGCCCACGTCTCCTCACCAAGGCTGAGTCCTATTTCTGTCCCCAGCACACCCACTACCCTCAGTTCAGTGGGCAGAGCTTCGTGGGGAGCTCGGGCCGAGGGCCATTTGGGGATTCCCTGATGGAGCTGGATGCAGCCGTGGGGGCCTTGATGATGGCCGTGAGGGACCTGGGGCTGCTTGGAGAAACGCTGGTCATCTTCACTGCTGACAACGGGTATGCCGGCCAGGCAGGGCACTAAGTGCCTAGTCACTGGCCAGGGCCCTGATGGTGTTGTGGCGTAAGGGATTTCGGAAATTCTGTTCCTGCAGTCACCTCTAGATCTCAGTTAGTAGGCCACACATGCACAGAGGTTTTGTAAACCAGAGGGCACAGGTGTGTACTGGCCATTTCAAGACAAGTACTCAGAGGTGTGGAGCTCTTAGTTACTCACAGGTAGTGAATCAGAGGCCCTGGGCCCTTGTTGCTAATGACTTTCTTACATGTCCCAGACCCGAGACCATGCGCATGTCACGTGGTGGCTGCTCCGGCCTCCTGCGATGTGGAAAGGGGACGACCTTTGAGGGTGGTGTCCGAGAGCCTGCTGTGGCCTTCTGGCCAGGCCACATCACTCCAGGTCAGTCTCCAGGGCCTCTCCTTGTGGGCTCCTGGCCCTGTCTCTCCAACCTTGCTGGCAAGTGGAGTAACAAGCAGCCCGTTGGCCCTAGGTGTGACTCACGAGCTGGCCAGCTCCCTGGACCTGCTTCCCACGCTGGCAACCCTGAGCAATGCCCCCCTGCCCAATGTCACCTTAGATGGTGTGGACCTCAGCCCTGTGCTGCTGGGCTCAGGCAAGGTAGGACTAGCATCATCCCCCCCAAGTCCAGTGTGCCCTCCTGGGATAAGGGTGGTGGTGCCTGGGGTATCTGTGTTTCATCTCCTTCGATGAGTGGCATTCAGGAAGTAGCTGGGTGGGCCAAAGAGGGTGACAACCAAGGCCCCTCCCACCCCTTGATCCTGACTCTACCCATAGAGTCCTCGGAAGTCTCTCTTCTTCTACCCAGCCTTCCCAGATGAGGTCCGTGGGGTCTTTGCTGTTCGAAGTGGGAAGTATAAGGCTCACTTCTTCACGCAGGGTAATTCCCTCTCTCTGGCTGCCCTAACCCAGCCCTGCTGACCCCCTGAGCACCCCCAAGCCCAGGCCCCTGCTCTTGCCCTGTGCACACACCTGACCTCCCCGCAGGCTCTATGCACAGCGACACCACCCCCGACCCTGCCTGCCATGCCAGCAGCCCTCTGACCGCTCATGAGCCCCCACTGCTCTACGACCTATCTGAGGACCCTGGTGAGAACTACAACCTTCTGGAGGTTGAAGCTGAGGTCACCCCAGAGGCACTAGGAGCAATGAAGCACCTTCAGTTGCTGAAGGCACAGTTTGATGCAGCCATGACCTTCGGCCCCAGCCAGGTGGCTCGGGGCTATGACCCTGGCCTGCAGATCTGCTGCAAGCCCAGCTGTACCCCCCACCCAGCCTGCTGCCACTGCCCAGACCTTCAGCCCTGAGGGTACTGGCCAAGTCCACAGGAGAATTCTCCCAAAGCCCCTAACCCTGGGAAGAGTAAGGTTGGACGTTATGGGATGCAGGCGTGTGGAGGTAGTTTGTACTGATAATGTAATTATACCAGCTGAGACTTGGAGGTGTGACCATTCGTCTAATCCTTGCTATAACTGTGAAGGCAGAGCTGCACCCCTCTATTACCAGCAAAGAAACTAAGACACTGGGCAGTTCAGTGACTTGTCAGAGGTCATTGAGCCGGAAGGAGGTCGTGCTGGGATTTGAGCCCAGGGGTCCTGCGTCCCAGCTGCCCCACCCTGGTGATCCATGTCAGTCTGTACACGTCGGCCTGGGGTCTCGACACATCCACACAGGGGCAGTAAGTGCAGGACTGAGGGTGGGCAGGGGCTGGACAGCGTAGTGGCCAGAGACCAGTGAAGACACAGGGCTCCTGGGACAGGCAGGTTTTCCTGGAAGAAGCGTTCTCTGAGGAACTGGCCACCCAGGTTCCTATCAGAAGTTTGTCTGTATCAAGTATTGAGTTGCACATTCCAGATGGTGTGGGGAGGGGCAAGGGGGCCCCTTAGCAGCCTGGAGTCAGCCCCTCAGGGCCCCTCCCTTCTCGCTCTCCGTTCTGCCTGTGCGTATACTTCCTCCTGTCTCCCGGCTTCACCTTTGATCCAGTACTAACCATTTTCTGCCCAGCAGACAAAATGATGTCTTGTGGATGTTTGTCTGGCTGGGTCCCATCATGCTCAGAGTAAAACCCAAACTTCTTTCAGTCCTTTGCCCTGCTCTCAGGGACTCAGGCACCCCCTTGCCCTTCAATCCTGGCAGACTGACTGGCTGCCCCCAACAATGTCTGCCTCCATGATTGGCTTCCTCTGTGGAGAGGGTCCTTCTGACCACCGTGGAGTGTGTTGATTTTAGTACATGCCCAGGTGGCATGTCACATGCCAGGGGACTCTCAGTGCTGGTCACATGGGTACAGTGTCATCTGGCTGTGCTGATACGTCCATGTGGTAAATTTTCTGTTGTCTTCCTTACTAATGGATCCGCACCTCTTTCAGTGGTGGATAGAGGCACTTTCATCTCAATTTATAGCCTCTCCCTGATTCAGGGGGGCAGTGCCCAGTCTGAGCCAGTCAGAAGCCCATGATTGGTCATGGTAGTGAAAGGCTGGGGCTGTCCCCTGTGAGGGCCTGGCTTCGGCTGAGTCGGTGGCCCTAGATGGACATTGTACCGCTGCTAATCCAGAGTCTCCAGCTGCCTGCTGCAGAGCCCTGATTGTGAGGAAATAAAGCTTGCCTGTCTATGCCACTGGGTGGCGTCTGTTACTTGCTGAAATAAGACCTGAATGGGATGTGTGGTGGGTATGTGTATGTGTGTCAGTCTGAGTCATACGCTGGGTCACTTCCTGGTTGAGGGCTGTACTGACCACACCCCAAGTCCTGCTGCATCTTGGGTGGCCCCACCAGCCAGTGATGCTGGCCCAGAGAAGCCCACACACCTTGGTGAGTGCATTGGTTTCTGATGGGCATAGAGAGAAACTGAAGCAGATCCAAGATCCAAGTTTCACATCTAAAGACCAGATCCAGCAAAAGTAAATGAATGCGAACACTCAGGCACAACCCGCAGGCCCCTGCTCCAGCCCCCTCCCCCGGGGTGGTGTGATCATGGTGCTTACCTCCATCTTCATTCACCAGGTAGTTCTGGACCAAGGTGGCCTCCAAGGAGACCTCCTTCCCTGTTTCCACAGTGCTTACAGTCTAGCAGAAGAGGTCAGCCAACCCCCGTCAGATGCACATGGAATTCCAGTGCTGAAAGAGTCTCTACCTCTTGTAGGGAGGGAACCAGGTATCGCTGGGCAGGGACACCCAGATGTTCTCTATGTTACAAGCTGGTCGTGGGGCGCACATATGAATAAAGCAGTCGGGGCACATAGGGTCTGTGTACTTTATGGTATCGTTGTGTATTTTATTCATCAATAAAAAAAAATCTGCGGTAAGTGCTTCAAAGGAAGATTGTCCCTGGTTATGCCAGAGCATAGTCATGGAACACGGACAGCTGCGCCCGTCGGGGGTGCTTCCCAGCTTGTATCACCCAAGGTTGCAGTGAGGCAGATCTTGCCACCCTCCCATTCTTTCAGTTTTGCTGTGATTTATTTGCACGTATAAATGCTTGTTTCTCATCATTATAGCTGTTTTAGCCCAATGCACCCTCATATAGGCATAGATCGATGATGGATAGATACGATGCACTTGGACATGTACATGCCTGCCCGCACATCCACGTGCACACTCATGTTACTGTAACTCCCTTTCCTCTCTGCTGTTCTTAAGAAAAAATAAACTACTTTCCTATGAGCATCAGATAACCTATTTGCCCGGCTGGTGACTGTCGTTGCCAGGAAGCATCTTCCTCAAGGAGCCCTTCCAGAGGGGCATTTGGAATGGACAGAATGAAAATGTGGCGTCCTGCCAGAGGTGGCGGTGCATGCCTGTAACCCCAGCACTCTGGAGGCTGAGGCAGGAGGATTGTTGGGAGTTTGAGACCAGCCTGGGCTACATAGTTCTAGGTCAGTCTCACCTACATAGTGAGACCCTGTCTCAAAAAACAAAAAAAACCTGATGTCCTATGTGGTTCCACTCAGGTGCAGTAGGAAGGAAGAGGAGACATCTGGGACCCAAGTGGCTGGCAGAGGCAGGGCAGCACCCGCACTTTTCCTCTCTTGCCCTCTCCCTGCCCTTTCTTCCACCCGTTTTTCCATGCTCACCCATCCCCTGAGTGACCAGAAGAGGGAGCAAAGAGATGTTTCATGGAACATGTGGTGGTTCACCTTTGCCTCTTCTGTTATGGTTTGTTTTTTGTTGTTGTTGGTTTTGTTTTTTTTGTTTTTTTTTTAATCACAGGACTGGGGATTGAACCCAGGACCTTTCTACTGAGCTATATCCCCTGGCTTTTAATTTTTTTTTTTAATTTTGGGACAGAGTCTAACTTGCTAAATTGCCTCTACATTCGGGTAAACAAACAGCTGCTCCCAACTGCTCCAAATGTGTACACAGGAAACCAGGGGGGGAAAAAAAGCAAAGTCATCATTTTATCATCAGTTCAGACAATGGTCACAGCTGTGTTTTTGGGTGCCTTGTGTTTTTATTTTTTTAATTTTTTTGCATACTGGAGATTAAACCCAGGGCCTTCACACTGAGCTACATCACAGGCTTTTTTTTTTTTTTTTTTTTTTTTTTTAACAAA